TTGTCCCTAACTAGTTGCACCCACCTAGCAGTGTATGAACATGTCCTTCACACTAGAGCTTTGTTTGTCGCTTCTTAGCACGAGATTAGGGGGAGCAATACCCGGGTGAAGCTCTCTCAAGTACAACTCTCCTCCATTTACTTTCCTTGCTTGTTTTCATTTGTAGTTTTCATAGTTTTAAATCCAAAACCGTTTTGCTAGATAACAACTTAAGCGATTGAAGTAGTGGTACATGGACACGCTAAAACACAACACCTAACAATGGCCAAGTGTAACCAATGAAAGGGACTGCAGTATAGTGACACAAGTAATAAATATTGAATCCACGGGTCTCTAGAGTTACTATTACTCAGCTTCAGTTCATTATCTAGCAAACTAGATTAAGGATTGATTTACTAAACTACTATACTAACTACTCTACTAATTACAAGTTGGGAACTCACTTAGGTATGATTCCCCCTAGCTCCTCAATTAGGTCCAAGTTGCAATTACCTTTGGTTGATCTACTGTTGATTAAATGCGGAAGATCCTAAATTAGCTTGGAATCTCTTAAGCTGACCAAGCCCTCTTAGACAGAATACCCGGCTGGCGACTAGCCTTCACCGGGATAGACTGCTAAGGTGATTCACACAGATCTCCACTACTGAAATGAATTCCAGTACAAAGCAGTGAATTGATTGACTCTCGCACAACCAATTCACCACTATCAATCAAGGAAGCTCTCTTAACCTAATCAGATTCTATCTATCATAGGTTAAAGCAGAAATCAAGAGAATTTGATCAAGATTCTATTGACTCAATAAATCATGCCTCAATCGATTATAATCAAACAATATAGCACTCAAAACTTCATACAAGAAAGATCCTAACACATGGAACTAGGGTTCCTCAAAACCTAAGTGAAGGGAAGTTACTCCATAGAGAAGAGAGAGACTGCAGAAATCTAATCTAGATCTTCAATATCCATCTCCAAGCTTGATTCCCGAGCTCCAATGGCGAAAAATCCTCCAAATAGCTCCAAGAATGTTCCCAAGTCACTCTCTCTCTATAGGGTTCGTCCCTTGTGTGTTTGGGAACCAAAACCCATCTCCCCCTTCCTTTGGCTTGAATCTGCCTCAAAAACCCGATTCTGGGCAAAACACGGTCGAGGGCACGACCGTGTTTTACTTTTGCCCGCCCGTGTTTTGCCCCCGGCCCCTCACGACACGCCCTTGTCGGCCAAAACACGGTCGTGCCTAAATATGGACACGACCGTGTTTTTAGGGTAGTCTGCCCGTGTTTTTACTGCCAAACCTGTTCCCCTATATTCAATGCTTCATTTCTCCCTCATCCGGACTCCGAATCAGTTGCCGTTTGATCCCAAACGCTCGCAGTCTCGTCCTCTTTCTTTTCATGACAAGCTTGCATGATTATTTGTCCATAAATGAGACAGAAATCCATTCTTATTCAGGTCATGCCCGAGTTTCTTCTTCCGAATCGCCAATTTATCTCTGATTGACTTGAAACTTGCGCCTATGCTTCACTTTATGTGCTAGGACCTGAAATGTGACAAAGTAACAACCTAGCGTAAAATAGGCCAAAGACATGATAATTAAAGCTCAAACAATCAAGAAACAAAGGGAAAACATGTGCAAATATCTAGTCATTATACATGGACTGACCCTGGTTGACAATTTAAATACTTGCCCTATACTGCACCAGGCTAGAGTTTAAAAACTTGGCCCTAGTTGGGATTAATTCGCGATGTAGTTTCGAGCGAGTCACCAGGCTTGCCAAGTAGAGTTAAAACCCAATTTGTTCAAAACCGCAAGGAGAAAGGATCACTTGACTATATCATAGGCCTTTTTCATGTCAACCTTTAGAGCCATGTACCCTTTCTTACCTCGATTCTTGATTTTCAAATAATGCATCATGACCAATGAGAACATTCTCGACAATCTGGCAGTCCAGAATAAAGGCATTCTGACCATCATAAATAATCTGGGGGAGAAATTGAGCCAAACGTTCTACCATGATCTTGGCTATAACCTTATACACAAATTGGCAGAGACTGATTGATCGTAGTTGCCTCATACTCTCCACATTATCAACCTTAGGGATCAACATTAGCCAAGTATGATAAGCTACAGAGGAGTCTTCCTGTATAAAAAAAAACGAGCGGACCGCAGCTATCACGGAATCGCCAACAATATCGCAAAAGGACTCGAAAAACTTCCCAGTGAACCCATCCGATCCCGGGCCTACTTCGAGCCCATGGAAAAGACAGTTTGGCGTATTTTCACAGGGAGGACTTCAACCGTCAGACTATCATTCATTTCATCAGTCACACGTATATCTATCAGAAGGTGCGCCACCCTAGCTTCCATATTCGTCACTTGGGTCTCTGAAGGGAAAAGAGTTTGATAGAAATCAGTGTCTATGTCAGCCTTCTCTCTCTCATTAGTGACCATACCGGGTGACGGTATGGAAATAGAAAGTGTTATGATCCCCTTTTTAAGCCATCACACTCTCGATTTTTGTTGCCAGTAAACCTCCTCAGCCTCCCACTATCTTGTCAATTCAGCTTCTAAAACCTTCACCTCCTCCCAATTGATCGGATGTACCAATTTAATCAGATCTATTTTAGCTTGGAGGGTCCTAATTTTCCGCAGAGAATTAGTAGTCCCCGTCCTGGTCCAATCACAAAGCAAATGGCGGAGTTTTTTCAGCCTCTCACATAGCTCCCATTGATCTCCTCCAGCCAGACATAATTAACCATAGCCTTTACCTCCGGATTATCCGCCCAACAGTTATCAAAGCGAAAGAGAGGGCAACTGGCACGGGTATACGGTCAATCAGATAAGAGCAAAGCTCCATGGTCAACATCACCAGAAACACAGACATAAAATAACATAGTAACTATTTTCGGGTTTGGGCATAAAACGAACCAAATAATAATTTGGTTCGGACAAACCGAACCGACTAATAATTCGGTTTGAATTTGGTTTGCCATATGACTGAAATTGAAACCCCGGTAATCATCTTTTCAGTTCGGTTTTAACCGAACCGACCGAATGCCCACCCCTACTATGCGGGAGTTCTCTGATCTTCCTGATGGGGAGAAGAAGAGAGTTGTGTTGGTCATGGTGTGTTGGAGACCACAACCTCAACTCCTTTATATACAAGTTCCACCATGGGTGCTCCCATAAAATCCAAGTGAACATATATTTGGTTTCCACCCATTGGATCCATATCGGGCTTGAGAAGTCATGGGCCACATAAAATTGATCACTTAATTTAACCCATCAAAATGAATAACAAATATAGTGTGTTTATAATTTGATAGGCCACTTAAGTTACGAAATGAATTTCCTAACAAAACCAATAAACGTTTGTTAGTATATAAATACCTGTAGTGTGTAATATGCTTTGTGTCCTTTGATATGAAGAGGTGTGAAGGCCACCGATTGTGCTTAAATAAAATATACTCGATTGCCACTTTTTTTATATATTTTTCACTATTAAGAAATGAGACTAGACCACATCAAGGGCTTGTTTGGCTGTAAAAATATGGAACCAAGAGAATTTGTCTTAACTTCCACGATATAGAAAACTCGAGAATTATGAAATGAATATTGGCTATTCTGTATTTGGAGTGGGTTCAAGAATGTGAAAATTAATGGTATGAGATTTGAATAAAATACCAATTTGCCTTTTCTTCTGTCTGTTTGTAATCAACATTCCGCATACCTTCAAAATAAATCTTTCAAAATCTAAAATTTGGATATCATGCATCAAATCTAAAATTTGGTTATAAATCGTCTGGTTTATGTACAGACCATAAGACTGACCATGGGCATGTGCTGGCAAGCCCACCAGCACAGGCTCTCAAGATTTTTGGGGCCTCCATAAAATCCAAAATTTTTAATTATTAGTTATATTAAGTAGTATTATTCATGTTTGCACCAAAAGCTTCTGTTGTCACTGTTTTAATGCTCTTCTGCCTGTGAGTGTAACTATGAAGTGGATGGATTAAAACAATACTGGTAGCTAGATTGACAAACCTGTTTAAGTCATTGAGTCAGTCAAGTAAGGAGTTTGAGGTTTAATGGTTTGATCGGGGTCCGGCCGGTTTGAGCCATTTCAGATGTTTTCTAAATATATTTACAAATAAGATAGCAATTAAAGATTTAATGACTGAAATAAATTTATCTTACATATATCTATTAAAAACTTATTTTCCATAAAATAATCTACCTAACCTCCACGACCCACCCACCATCTCCCTTACTTCGTTCCTCTTCCTCTCTTTACCCTCTCTTCTTCTCCCTCTTTAGGGGTTAGACCGGGGGATTTCGGGAGGCCGTTTTGAAGTTCGACTCGGGTCGGACCGGGGATTCGATAGGGGTTTAACAACCTTT